GAACATCATAATGGTTGTAACATATACTTTCAATGAATATGAAATGAGTTAGTTACTTATTATTTTATCAAACAATGTAAAAAATTTCTAAACTTTTTAATCTTATAAACAGTATAAAAGTACCTTTTTTAGCAAATATGTTATTATTATTATTATTATTATTATTATTATAAATAAATAAGTAATATTAAATAGTATTTATAGTATGTGATTATATTAGTTGTAACTTAATATATAAGATATTTTGATAACAATGTCATTATATAAAATACGTACAAAAAAATGATGCAATATATATAAATGTGTTTTAATTCTTTTAACAAACAAAATATTATTTGTGAATAGAATAAAAAAACAAATAAAACAATAGTAATGCAATGGAGAAAAGAAAAAGCCTGAATTTTCTTAGAGAAATATAAATACCAATATCTATAAACAAAGTATTTTAAATTACTACTGTTTTAGTTGTTAGCGTTTAAATGTATTGATTCTGTAATAAATTGGTTCTCATAAATAATGATCATATATTATAAATTTTCAATTTTAAATAATTAAAAAATAAAAAACTTTGTAATACATAATGTAAATTTTAATATGACTTCGTAATAATAAAGTTCACAGATGACTAAGAGTATCATAATATAATATAATATAATTGTAATTCTTCTCCTCTCAAACATTTTAGCAAATGATATGTTTTTAATATTGTCTCATTGTTGTGTTCTGTTTTGCCATTGTCGAAGAATCAAGAAAATGATCTTTATCTTTAATTTTGTAAGCAGTATGTATGATGCAGAAAATTGGTCAATAAAAACACTAAAGAAGTTATTAAATACATAAATATTACAAATATAAATCAATGTGAAAGATGTTATGATAAACAACTATAAAATCATTGCAACAACTAAGATAATCAATGATTTGCAAACAATAAATTATATAGTTCATCTATCTTCCAAATAAATAACATTGAAAAGAAAATATCGGAGTCTGATCAAAACATTTTTGAATGTTTGAATGAAGTTGTCACTTCTTGATAGGAATATTTACAATCTCATTGGTGTATTATGCTCGAACATATGTGCAATTATTTTAGAGTACATACTTTCAGGTATTGTGATGATTTTAGAAAAATAATCTAGCGCCTTGGGAGAAGAACATGTAACCAAGATTTTGAGAAGTTAACTTTTATTTGTAGATTAACTTCATTCTCACCCTGTGGGGCGATGCCTCCATGTGGTAGGTACCAATTTTGTCTATTTGAAGAGAGTAATGAAGTTGTTTACACAATGATAAAAAAAATATCAGTAATTTTAATGACACGATTGGTTATTTCACAGGGATATTCATGAACGGTTAGTAGAAAAACCTTATAAAGATCATACAATCATATAAACATGAATTTGACTATATGTTTGATCAGGATATTTTTAAGTGTTTGAATAAAGTAGATGTTTTGCCAAATGAATTAAGAAGAAATTTGCAATACTATTTATGTATTGGGCTCCAACCGATATGAATGTTTCTTATGAAAACGTCAAAACTAAAATGAAAGAAAATAATTCTTGAATTATCTAACATAAATAAATAAAAGAACTAATGCATCTATAATATATATTAGGCCCTTATTTTGGTATTGTGTTTTTTCCCATTGTTGACTCATTTTTTATACACTTTTGTTGGGGTTGTAATATGTTTTTTTACACTAATATCTAGAAACAAAAGTATTTTAAAATTACTATTTTTTTTTTTACTAGCGTTTGAATATATGGACTCTGTAAGAAATTGGATCTAATAAATAATGATCATATATCATTAATTTTGAATATTAAATAAATAAAGAATAAAAAACATTGAATAAATAATGTAAATTTTAATAATGACTTCGTAACAATAAAGGTCATAGATGAATAAGAGTATCATAATGTAACAAAATTCTAATTCTTCTCCTATCAAATATTTTAACAAATGATATGCTTCTTAATAGTGTCGCATTGTTTTGTTTTGTTTTGTTTTGTCACTGTTGAATAATCAAGAAAGGATCTTTATCTTGAATTTTTTAAGTATTATGTATGATGAAAAAACGTTGACAATAAAACCATTAAAAAAGTTATTAGGAACATAAATATTGCAAATCTGAACGAATGTGAAATATATTATGATAAACAACTCTAAAATCATTGCAACAACGGAGACGATTAATGATTTTCAAACAACATATTATATAGTTCGTATATATTCCAAATAAATAACATTGAAAAGGAAATGTTGGAGCCTGATCAAAATATTTTTTAATGTCTGAATGAAGTTGTCACTTTTTTATAGGAATATTTACAATCTCAATGGGGTGTATTGTACTCGAACATATGTGCAATTACTTTAGAGTACATACTTTCATGTAATGTGATTATTTCAAAAAATAATTTAGCGCCTTGGGAGAAGTACATGCAACCAATAATTTGGAAAGTTAACTTTTATTTGGAGGTGAAACTCATTTTCATCCTCTGGGGCGATGCCTCCATGAGGTAGGTACCAATTTGTCTATATGGAGAGAGAGAGAGAGAGAGAGAGAGTAATGAAGTCGTTTATACAATGATAAAAAATAAAAATAAATAACAACAATTTTAATGACACAATTAGTTATTTCACCGAGATATTCATGAAATTTGTTAGTAGAAGTACCTTATAAACATCATACAATCATGAATTTGACTATACATTTTGGCCTAAATATTTCAAGTGTTTGAATAAAGTAGATGTTTATAATAAATAATAAAAGAACTAACACATTTATAAATAATCTAACATAAATAAATAATAAAAGAACTAATGCATTTATAATATACATTAGGTCCTTATTTAGTTATTTAGTGTTTTTCATTAGTGATTCATTTTTTATATATATTTGTTTGAGTTGTAATATGTTATTTCATTCATTTCATATTATGATATCATTATGTTATTTTTTAGAAGAAAAACCATGGGAGCTCATTTGTTCTACAATGTATTTCGTTCTTACAATGATATGTTTGATAAATTAATTAATTTATATTACTAAACTTAATTAGTGAAAAACATTCACCACCACGTGCACTTTACTAGTTAGAAAAAAAAACGCAGAACAGAATACATAAAGGTGAAGAACAAATAATAGAAAATCCTACACGCCTCTGGACTCCGTCTACGATCCTCCGGCAGACGCAACCCTCTGCCGGCACGACGAACCTTGTGTTACGGTGGAATCTCTCAAAGCACGAAAGGGAATTGCGATCGCGGGCCTAAAATTGGAAATGAAAGATATGCTGAAATTATAATTTGGCCGTAGATTGATGGCGGCGGACTGGCAATGGGAGAACGCGGCCGCTGGATCCGCCGCTGGCCTCGCGACGGTCACCTTCACTCACCCACTCGACGTCGTGCGAACACGATTCCAAGGTCAATTTTCTTTTTTCTTTAACTTAATTTGTAAAGAAACCTAAATCATTTCATAGCCTTGTATGAAATATTTTTTTGGTGATTTTGTTTTTCATTTTCGTTGATTAGTTAATGACGGGAGATTGTCATCTCTGCCTACGTATAAGAACACTCCGCACGCTCTGTTCACCATTGCGCGCACCGAGGTTTGTGGTTTGAGATTATATATGATTTTCCGCATTCTCTCTTAATTTGATAGTTACTATTATTTCGTGTTTAATTTTCATTTCTTTATGACAGCTTGACATATTTTAAAGCTGCGTCCTTTTATCACTCTGTTTAGTGTTTAATTGATTATTCACATTGTATCGCTCTTTTGAGTGTTTAGTTAATGATTCACCAATGATATTATACAAGGTAGTAGAGAGGGTAAATGGTTTATGCGTAATCTTATGGACTTTATGTGGAAAAGATTATTTTTTTTTTTCCCAACCTTTGTGGTCTTTTGCTGCAAACTACAAAGTTGACGGATGCATTACAAATATTCTCCATGGCTTATCATATATGTTTGGCATAAGATTGTAGAATAATCATGTTTCATTGTCGGCTGATTTTACCAACATGAAGCATGAGAAGTACATAAATCCTTGTTCTAATTTTTGGCTGTCTAATTGGGACAATGTTGCATGTAGAAGAGACTGAGGATGGTATCTTGAACAGTTCTTAACATTTTAAGGCACATTCTTTTCTTATCATGGAGATACTGTAGCTTGCATTTGATTCGGGTGAACCTGCTTTTTGTACAGTTGCAAGTTGTATTGGCTATTGCATAATTACTGCCATCGTCTTCCGTTATTTATTGATCACTTTATTTCTATGAATATATGGCTGTAATTTTTAATTTAAAAAGTAACATTTTCATTTCAGGGTCTTAGAGGCCTATACGGTGGATTTTGCCCGGCTGTTCTTGGATCAACTATATCGTGGGGTTTGTATTTCTACTTGTAAGCATCAATGCTGAGTCCAGTATGAGTTTGAAGTATTCTTAATATTCTTGTAGGTTTGGAAAGTTCTAATATCTTGTACTTGGGTGTCCATAATGGAAACTTGTATAAGCAACCTTTGTCATGCTATCATTTACTTCAACCATCTCTTTAAAGTTTGCAAGCTATCATTCCAACCTTCAAGGTATATACAATTGCTTATTGTTTCTAGACAAACCTTGAATAGCGAATTTCCTTCTCCTTGTTTACTTTCCTAATTGACAGTATTTTGTCATTCTAATTAATCCCTTACGGTCTTGCTGACTAAACTTTACATATAAGAAGAATTTTGAACGACTGAAGGAAATTTTTGCTTGCTAGTTTCCTTACATTCTTTTGGCTACACTGAAAAAATGAGTCTTATATCCATGAAAGAATGTATAGCTTGCTTATTTGTCTATTGATGCTTAACTTTGGCAATCTTGATTTTAGCAGTCAGATTGAGTATTATCTACGTTGATCAGATATGATGCTATTAAGTTTTCGAGCATGCTTGAGCAATCTATTTGAACTTTAACCATGAACTTTTTATGCTTTTGTAGCTACAACAAAGCCAAGCAACGATATTTGCAAAACAAAGAGGGGCTGAGCCCTGTTCTTCATCTTGCTTCAGCTGCTGAAGCTGGAGGTCTGGTCAGTATTTGTATTATACGCCCTTCAATGATGCCAGCATTCCATGTTCACGGACTGAAAAGATTCATTGACATCTATTTGTCTGCTTTAAAATTCATGTATGATCTAGAGGGAGCTGCGAACTCTTCCAACTTTTAATAGAGTTGATACACAGCTAGCAGTGGCAAAAAAATAAATAAATAAATAAAAATAAAAATAAAGAAATAAATTAATAGTAACAAAATGATTATTTCGTGTTATTCTGTTAAAAATAAAACTAATAATAAGTCTACTATTGCATAGCCTTTTCATTTTTGAGAAACAAAAAAAGTTTCTGGATTCATCCAGAAAATAGCAAAGTGTCAAAACCAAAGAAGTTGCATGAGAAGATTTTTCAATATAAAATCTTCTCTTCCTTTGCCTTTCTTTAAAATTTCAAAAACTTGTCAAAGCTGATCACTGGACATGGGAAACATATATTCTATCGATAGTGGATGCTCTAGCTTAAATTTCTCAAGTTTATATTGCTTGGTAAGGTTTAAGAGCAATGTAGATTTCTGCCTGCAGTATTTAACGAGGAAGAATTGCTCTGTCATAATTCCATTTATGCAGTTTATATTTAAATTATTGTGTATCTTTTAACTTTGATTACAAGAAAATCTTTTGTGGGTCTTTCAGGTCTGCCTTTGCACCAATCCTATTTGGCTGGTGAAAACACGGTTGCAGCTTCAGACACCACGACAAGCTCATCGATATTCTGGTTTTCATGGTTAGCTCTGATCTTCTACCAACTGTTGTAAGTTGTTCCCTGTTGGTCCATTATATTGGTGCCTTCAGCAGGGCCAGGATAACAACTTCATATTTAGAGGAATGGATATCAATCTGTGCCTTTCTTGTGTTATACGTAATTTATTTATGAAAAAATGCCAAAATCCAATACTATGCAACTAAAATGGCTTGGTTCGAATGTAAAAGGTTATGTTATGTATAGCACTCAAAACATTAATGCATCATGTAACAAGCCTCAAGGGTTTTGATGCTTCTTGTGAGTAGAAAATAGACAAACGAAAAGAGAACATGCAATTCACCAAGGAGGATATCAGGCGGAGTTGAATGATGGACTGATGATTTTATGTTGCTCTAATGAAGGATAGAACTTATCTCAGGTAAATAAATGATTACTGAAAAGAGCATGAAACACCGCAGGATTCAACCCAATTAAAAGATATAACTTCACAAACTGATTCCGTGTTCTACTTGGTTACCTACAAATCACAAGGATATATAACTTCACAAACTGATTCCGTGTTCTACTTGGTTACCTACAAATCACAAGGATTTTGGAATGAAAAATGTATCATATATTTTTATCCTTGAACGTATGGGCTGCTTCAACGTATGCAGAACATATGTTAAGAACTGATTTTTCACAAGATATGTGTCTGAATGGAATTAGGTTTGATGGTCAATTTCACAAGTCCTCTGGCTATAAAATTTTAAAGTTGACATCTCATTTGTTTCAGGATTCTTGTTCCCCCAGCAGACTTGTTGTTCATTCTTTTGCTGAATTTGTTATACGGGATCTTCCAGCTTATTCTGTGCCAGTAAGTTGAAGTGTAACTTTCACTATCGTCTTGTTTCAGATGCTCTTAGAACCATATTGAAAGAAGAGGGATGGATGGCACTTTACAAAGGACTCGTTCCTGGTCTTTTTATGGTGAGTATATTTCCCTATTCTGCTGTATTT